TCTTTCTGGATCTTAATTTCTGTATTGATATAAAACTTTGATCTATGTTTTATGATTACTTTCTCCATTTTATTACAGATCTCTGAGGTTGTCAACAGCATGAAGGATCTGATTGATTTCTGCCGGGAGCAAAAAGTTGGGCCTATTGGTAATTTCCTTTTGCGGTTGGTGTTACTATATTTTTCTGTTTTTACCTATATATTATGGCTTCGTTTCTGGGCCTGCCATATTCTAGGAAGTACCTTGGGAATAATAGATTGTTATGCATGTCAGTTCTTTCTCAAGTTTAATATCTAGTTATATTAAAAAATAAAAAATAAAAAAATGGGAGTGCTTGTCTGTTTTGGCTTCTACTTTCTTCTGTTATCATTTGTCATGGCTTGTGTTGTAATTTTCATTAGTTTCAAAGGTTTTTTCATGTGGGCATATTTATCTGCTAGGAATTTCTTTTCTTTTCTTTTTTCTTTATCTTTTTTTATATAACATCTTCTACTGTTTACATTTTATCAACATGAAGGTCGCACCTCCAATGATTTTTGATCAGACACTGGCCCTGTTCTGTTTCATTTCTCTTATATTTGATCAATATATTTATTTTAGACAGCTAAAAGTTGTGGTTCATTTTTGTGCACCTTGACTATTCTGCTTTGTTTTTCTGTTGCCTGCCAATTTTTGCTACAAGAGAAAACCATTGCTTTGCTCATAATGTGCATAGACACCTGATGTGGACCATTGTCTGCAGAGGGCTTGAAAAGTTATCCTCGACATGCCACTGCAGCTAAGCTCCAGATGCAGAAAATGCAGGAAATGGAGCAGTTAGCAAGTGTTCAAGGTCTGCCAACTGATCGAAACACCCTCAATAAGCTAATGGCATTGCATCCTGGAATAAACAGCCATGTGAATAGTAATCATCAAATGGTTGGTCGAGGTACTTTAAGTGGTCCAGCACAGGCTGCTTTGGCATTAACAAACTTCCAGAATCTGCTCAGGAGGCAGAACTCAATGAATTCAAACTCCAGTTCCCAACAGGAGGCTGCTTCACCATTCAATAATTCTAATCAGAGTCCATCCTCAAACTTTCAAGGAACCACTAACTTCATACCTGGATCCATGCAGAACTTACCTGTGAGTGGCTTTTCTAGTCCACATCTACCTCCCCAACAGCCCCAGCAGATGCAGCAGCGCTCATTGAGCTCTAATAGCTTACTCCAACAGAGCATTCCACAGTCCTCCCAAGGCAACCAGGCCTGGCACCCACACATGATCCAGCAGCTGTTGCAGGAAATGTCCAATAACAGCGGGGGAGGAGTCCAACAACATTCCCATTCTGGACAGAGTGGGAATGGTGGCATGACAAGGAGTGGATTGGGTTTTGGAAGCAACACTTTGGCAACACCTCCAACTGCTTCCACTGTGTCTGTAGGTGCTGGAGGACTTGCACCAAGCCGGAGCAACAGTTTTAAAGCTGCTGCAAACAGTGATTCTTCAGCAGCTGGTGGCAACAGTGGGTTTAACCAGAAAGTGCTAGATTTGCCTCCAAATCTTCATCTGCAGGACGACCTGGTTAGTGATATTGCCCATGAGTTCACTGAAAATGGATTTTTTAACAGTGACCTTGATGATAACATGGGTTATGGTTGGAAGGCGTGACTAACAGGGTTGGACCAGTTGCTTGCTCTCAAATGAGCGTGGTGGCCATCTGTATTTGTACAGAATATTCAAATAGCTGCTTCCCCCCCACCCTGTCTCCAGCTTTTCTAATGAAGGGATTTGTTGCAACATACCAGGGAGTTGGTACTTCAGTAGGTAATTAGGTTTTTTCTATTTTTGTTTTTTTGGCCTTCTCCCTTTTCTTTTGAGGGTTTTTTTTTTTTTAATCAAGTCATTGCAAGTGTATTCTATTGAACAAAAAACTGGAACAGCTAATGTGGTATCTAAATGAGTTCTGCAATATTGTATTTAAAGCTTCTCATGAACTAAACAGCTTATCTAAATGTGGTTCTTGATGATGTTCACTTACCATTTTACAATCCTTTACATTAATTATTGATAGGGCTCCAAAGATGGTGTTTTAGGCAGGGAAACATAAAGAAGAGGAGGGATTAGGGCAGCTTTGGCTGCTTGCATGAAAACCCTAGAGAAATCAACCTATACCTAAACTAATAATGATTCTCGTATACCGGTGCCCTCCAAGCTCTCGCCTCGTTGACTAGTACTGGAACAGGAAGAATCCTGGGCCACAACCTTTATGACTTGAGCCACTTCCCCGGTCTCGGTGGATTGCCATGGTCTTGCTAATTGGTGCTAAATGAGTCCCAACTTGCGACGAGCTTCTTCTAGGTTGACAACGATTAAATGTTCATTACTGCTATGATTGAGCTAAGGAGATGTGAAGGCCTCGGAAACTTATTTAGTAGTTTGACTAAAACAAATTCTAGATGATTTATTTTTTATAATATTAAAATAATAATATATTAGATTAATTTGGATTAATCTAGGTTAACATGTTAAATCCACATGTTGAGTTATGAGACTATAATGATCCTTTAAAAAATAAATAAAAATAATATATAAAGTTTAACATGTGAAATTCACAATCTAGATTACGAGACTATGATAACTTTTTAAAAAACAAATTAAAATAAACTATAAATTCTAATTCTTAATCAAATCAATATTAAAAAAAAATTAAAAAAATCAATTAAAAAAATACTTAACAAAGCCACCTGTTAACCAATCAAATCCATGATTTAGGTCATAAAACCAAGATAACCTCATGAAAAGCAAATCAATTAAAAAAGAATATAAAAAATAATTTCAATTAATTCACCAAACCCCTGACCTGAGTCATTAAATTGGGATAATCTTATAGAGAAAAATGACTTGATTTAATTTAGATTAACCTACCAAATCTATGACTTTGGTCAATAAATAAAAATAATATATGAAGTTTAACATGTGAAATTCACAATCCAGATTATGAGACTATGATAACTTTTTAAAAAATAAATTAAAATAAACTATAAATTTTAATTCTTAATCAAACCAATATTGAAAAAAATTAAAAAAATCAATTAAAAAAAGACTTAACAAAGCCACCTGTTAACCAATCAAATTCATGATTTAGGTCATAAAATCAAGATAACCTCATGAAAAGCAAATCAATTAAAAAAGAATATAAAAAACAATCTCAATCAATTCACCAAACCCATTACCTGAGTCATCAAACTGGGATAACCTTATAGAAAAAAATAACTTGATTTAATTTAGGTTAACCTACCAAATCTATGACTTTGGTCATAAGATTGAGATAACTTCATAGAGAGTAAATAAGAACAAATTATGAAACTCAATTTTCAATCATTTATGTTGGACCTAATATTTAATGATGAAATTTATAAAAATTTTAATAAAAAATAACACAAATTATGAGTCAGGTCAACTCATTAAGCATTATTCTCAAGTAATGAGACCGATATAACCTAATAAGAAGCAAATCAAAACAATTCATGAAGTCTAATTTTCAATTAAATACTACATTAAAAGATAAAATTAAAAAAATCAATTAAAAAAATTAAGTTAATTAGGTTAATTTTTCAAACTCGCAACTTAGATCATGAAATGAAGAAAACCCAATAAAAAAAAATCTAATGTTGAAGGACTCATAACCTGAGTTATGAGACTGAGATAACATGTTAGAAAAAAATTTAAAAAAGACCCGATTTAACCAGGGTTAAAATGTAAAAAATGGAGACCTTGATCATGAGACCAAAATATCCTCATAGAAAGTAAATCAAAACAAACTATAAAACTCAATTTTTAATTAACTAGATCAAAACAAACTATAAAACTCAATTTCTAATTAACTCAACGTTAAATAATAAAATTAGAAAAAAACACTTAATTAAAAATAAGATAAAAAAATAAACCATGTCTATTCGGGGTTAATCTTTAAGTAATATTCTCGAGTCATGAGGACGAAATAACATAATAGAAAGTAAACAAAACAAATCATGAAGTCTAATTTTTTATTATCCTGATATTAAATAATAAAACTAAAAAAAATTAATTAAAAAAATTTAAATTAATCGAGTTAACCTGCTAAACTTATAATATATGTTATGAAAATATAATAACTCAAAAACAAAATCTAATATTAAAAAAATAAAATTTTAACAAAACTAAAAAAAACTAATATTAAAAAAATAAAATTTTAACAAAGCATTGATAAAAAAACCATAATTATAATAAATAATAATTTATGAGAAAAGTAGAATAAAACCCTTTATCTTTTAGTATACAGTTAATAATTAATGGCACGATTTCTCCATGTGTAGATGTGATGGCCACATCATGTCTCTTGATGAGTATAGAATAAAATACTCGTCGCCCTTTTTTTCTTAACAAAAAACAAGTTGTAGACTGACAAACTTCTTTCTACCTTCCGTTCTCAAATCATAGACGGGAGATTCTCCCACATTTTTCTAAAAAAGAAACACGATGGAGTCTTCCAAAAGAGAGGGTAAAAGAGGGTCAGAATGGTGTGTCAAATTCTTTTCAGAGGTGGAGTGGTGGGGACAAATGGCTAAGCCCTAACTCTTTGTGGATAAGATCGGCAACATAGCATAAATGTGACGGAAGAACTGTCTTCCTGCTTAGCAGTCAGTCACCACTACTCAATTGCTGTCATGCCCAAATTTGAAGACACAACATGACCCAGTAGGCCTCGACTGCCCACCAAGCTCAGTGGAATCCCCTTGAAAACATCAACTTATCAGATAAAGAAACCATATATATATATATATATATATATATATATATATATATATATATATATATATATATATATATATATATTTGCTCCAGAGGGTTTGTCGAGTTCATGATTTTGTTGCCTCAAATTCACTGGCCTGTGAATCTTTTCACAACAAAAGTGCAAAAGAGAGTAGTTGGTACTGATTAGCACGAGTGGGTGTGAGCCGCTAAAGACACTAAATATATGTTCTGCAATACAACCATCCTTCATGATTTTCTCACAAATTAACAAATGACGATCAATCCAATTTACATTGCCTTGCTAGAATACAATACTTGTGGACTACAAAAAAAACAACAACCCACCATCTTCTTTTGTTAGCTAGAGCAGTCCCCTAATATATATCTTGTATGTAAATCTCACCATTTCTACCTACAAGGGTACAGTTTGCCTAAAACTGCTTCAACTTTCTCTGAACTCACTAGGGCATATTAACACAGAGTCTAAGCACACGCCACCTTTCGTATGTGTACAATCAATCTGCATCATGGAGAATCTGAGCTTCAATGGTGCAGTATTTGTGCTGTCAACAACAAAGTCACCAGCATGGTAATGCCCCCAATTTCCTTGTTGATGCAAGTAGCATTCCGATGACGCTTGCTGGCCATTCGATGTCGAAAGCTGGAAGCGGACCGGCTTAATGTCCCAACCATGAACTCGATCGACGTTGCAGGTTCGTCGGCCGAGTTTTTTCGAGGTCTTGCCTAGTTGAAGCCTGAATAGTAGGCTATATGTTCCTGCTGGAAACTCGAACTCTAATTCTCCCCCGACTTCGAACCACCATATTTGTTGAAGATATGCAATTGTGTTGAATCTACATGTCGTCAAAAACATTGAATTAAATATTAGCGCTTGCATTTATGCAACTTTCATGATCCATATACAATATTCCAAATCCTAAGGGAAATCACCACAACAAATAACATCATGCTTGTCTAATCAATCATGAACAATTAAGATGATAGTAAAATTGTTTATGGTTAATTTAGTAGATTGAAAACTCTTAGTGGAAGACATGTTCCATACACACAAGGCATCTGCCAAGAAAAAAGAGGGACAAAAAATGTTTAATTACTCAAAGCCCACAAGACAAGCAATCCAATAATTGAATGATTGAAATAAAGTCTTCAAAAAATTTTCAGCTTTTGAATTAGTATTTGCAAGTCATTGTTACTTATTGGTCAACTGCTTGCATTATTTTCTGGGAATTAATTGGCTAGAAGAATTTAAAACTCACCCATCAAGGAAAGGTCTGGTCCACCTTTTTATTTCACAAATAAATAAACAATTTTATTTTCATAGCTGAGATTTTTATCTTGAAATTAGATTTGGAAGGTTGCTGAGCCAATAGCAGATATTTTTTTAGATATTTTGCAAAAATAATAATTTTATTGAGGCCATGAAAAATATATGACAATAATATTTCATCTTCAAGGGAAAAAAGAGTTACAATTCCTGAAGATTCAGTGAATAAAAAGTGTACAACCAATTATGGAATATGTGTGTGAAAAGCATATTGTTTTTTTATGTGGGATTTAAACCCAAAAATCCCAAAAGTTTTACTGATCATGCACCATAAATACCAATGATTAATCTTGGAAAATCTTTTTATTTGGGGTTTTTTCTCAAATTAAAATAAATACATCTGAATAATATAATCAAGAAATACTAATAAACCCTAACTATATAAAAAAATAAAAAATAAAATAAAACATCTCAACTATGTAACTTCCATCCAAATATATATGTAGCCACAAAAAGATAAGAGAAACTAAATAAAAATAAAAATAAATAAATCAAATGAATATATAAATCTCTGATCACCTGGATTCTTCAGATGAAATATGATTCCAATATCTTCGATCATCTATCCCAGTTATCCTTAATGCCTTGTAAGAAACAGCAACACAAATCTTGCCACTACTTTTATCCAACCACACTTGCTGTAGAGATTAATCACAAGAAAATTTAATTATCATTAAAAAAGAGATATAGTGCATAATTAATTGATAAACTCCTTTTGCAGTATTTCTTTTCTGACAAAATTCTTTACCTTGTTGCCATTATCAAAGCAATTAGGTCGACACAATCTTGCATAGATCTCTTTCTTGCTCAAACTCTCTGGACTTTGGCCTAAAACTTTCTCGACAAGAAACTTATAGTTTGATGGAAGCTTAGTTTCCCACACAAAATCAGCCAAAGAAGCACCATGAAAAGTCTTGTTCAACTTGGCTAGTCTGCATATCTCAGGAGGATCCAGGTACATAAAAATGGAAGAAACACAACTTTCTGGGACATCATCAAGACTAGGTCTTGATGGAGAAGAACCCGAACCTCCCTCGCTTTCCAAGAAACTAGACGAGCCAGCCCCCATAAAGATAAACAAAGGATTCAAGAAAAAGAAACAACGAGATATGTCCTATGATATCAAGGAATTTGAAGTGTTTGAAGGTAGAGGAGGAGGTGATAAGTTCTTTGGTAAACTAGAGGCGAGATTGAGGAAAGATCATGTGTCACCATTTTCTTCATGTGTGAGCCAGGCAACGGATTTTGGGTTTTAAGAGAGACTGAGAGGGTGAGAGAGAGATTAGAGTAGTAGTAAAAGGGGAAAAAAAAGGACACAGTTAAATTGAAAAATCCAACAAAAAAAAAAAAAGAATAAAAAAGGTTGAATAAGCAAAGGATCAGAGGCCGTAACAGGGACGTGTACATGAGGGTGCATGGAATATATATATATATATTTGGTTGGGGGAATAGGCTGAGGATATCATATTGGTGTCCACACACGGTTTTGTGGCGTGTGGGAAACTAATCCATGCTCGGAAGAATATTGGAATATGAAGTAGTACTGTGTATCATGGAACCATTTGGAGAATAATATAATTTCCCTGGAGACCTGTATATATTTTGAATTTATTAATGTCGATGTTCAAATATTTGTGCTATTAACTCCGAGGAATAAGTTATAAAACCTAGTTGAATCCTTGAAGGTTGAACCTATTAATCTAAGTTATTTTTTAAAAATCCTTAAACATTAATTTTTTTATATTGCACTAAGTGTCTAATCATCGAATTACTAGATTAATACATTGTTTTTTGTATTTATTAGCATAAATACTTTTTAATATATTGAATTAAATGCATACATGAATGCATAGACCTTTTAATTTATAATTAATTTAAAAAACATTTGAAAAACTTGGATATTTATTTTTTTATTAAAAAATTATCTTATCCACAGAAAAACATGAATACAATAACTAGTGTGTGTGTCATGGCAAAGGTTACCTTTCAAGATAGTTTCATTAATTTCATCATGAGGTTTAGGTTTAGGTACATTATCAAATTAATCCCAAAAGTTTCATTAATTTCATCATGAGGTTTAGGTTTAGGTACATTATCAAATTTTGATTTGAAAATTAAAGAATTAATCCAATAACCTGTTTTTCACATCTGTTTTCGAATCGAATCTCGCAAAAATACTCCCATTTCATGCCATGCGTTGTCTTTACGAAGGGATAGAGTGTTGAAAATGACTAACTTTTGAATGCAATTTGATTGATCCAAATTAATGATTTATCAACTAACCTATATTAATTAACATTCAGACCACCCCACGGCTACTCCTTGAAGACAGTTTATTTGCTAATTAATTAATTAGTATAATATTTACCTGATTTGATGGCAGGATATATGTTTAAACAATAATTAACTCCCACATGTCTAGCATTAATTATCTTCCTGTCAAAGAATTCGTGCTTGCACGCCATTAGTCTAAAATTAAACTACCATTAATTACATGTTGGACATCGGGGTGTTAGCTTCGAAGGCGACATTGATTTTTTTGTTTTTTTTATATATGTAGGAATAATTTAATATCAAGTAAATACAAAATTTTACTTAATTTACACATTATCTTCCCTTGGTGTGGCTTTACCATGATTTGCCCTAAATTTCAACGTGGCCCAGCATTTCCAGCCTAGAGTTTATTCAACATCCACCAAATTACTAATTATTTGATTCAGAAGTGACATCCCTTTTAATTATACAGCCATGAGGTTCACATTTCTTGGATCATTGGATGCTCTATGTATGGTCAAAATCATGGCAGCGTGGGACAAGGTACAGAAATAATAAAAACAAAAATGTCTTTGATTGAAAAAATATTGATGTAAATATAAAATAAATCTATTTTTATAATAATTTTTTATATTTTTAAAATAAAAATTACAAAGAAATTATCTTGAGTGAGAGGCTACATAGAGCTTCTAATTAAATCTAGGAATATATTGAGCCCTTCGTAAAGACATCGCACGGCACGAAATGGCCAATTAGTGGGAATGATGTCTCTTAAAGGAGAAAGAACTAGTTGTCTTCCATGGTGACTTATTTGGTTTGAAATCAATCAATTATGATCTCAGCCATATTCTTCGTACATGAAAGAAACCATGACAACACTCCTTCTTTTATATTATTCAGTTTAATTTTTTATCTCGATTTTTCACCTCTAAGATATAAAAAATAAATCTATTTAGTGCTTTGTAATGTTGTTCAATTTTAACAATTTCAAATCAACTAGTTAAAGTGGCTTTAATTCATCCTAGCATTTCGAGGAAAAACTGTTTATTTATCAAGAAGCCTAATTATAAATCTTATATAGCAAAACTTTTCTTTTTTTGGATTTTTAATTTAATTTGGTAATAAAAAGTAATTTTTCTAATCTAACACAAGTAAATATCTGATTTAAGAGATGGACTAATCCTTTAATAAAATATGAATAATTATCATATCTAAAAAAACATTTAACTATATATTTAAAATTATAATAGCGTTTTGTTTTAAAAAATTGGTTTAAGAAATGACTATATATTTAAAATTATAATAGCATTTATGGTTACGGTTTTGTTTTAAAAAATTGGTTTAAGAAAAATATTCTAATTGTGGTTATTAAAAAAATTATATTCAGCTAAAATTGTTATTAAATATATTCTTGGATGCAAAATAAATAAAAAGCAACTCTCCATAAATAAAAACATATTATTTCAACTTTATAAAACTATCTTGTGAAATAAGTATGTGCTCAGCTTAGTATAAAAAATAAAAAAGTATTTAATTAACTAAATAATTTTTTTATAATTAAATAAAAAATAAAAGCTATCACAACACTAAATAATATCTAAATCTTTATATACAAAATCTAGTGCAAAATTATCACCTAATTGTAATATATAAAAAAACAACAAAATAACTTTACTCTTATTGATTCATTTCCCAATAATTTTACCCCCGCTAGTATACTCACCACAGAGAAATTTAAAGTTTAAATATGATACTCATAAAATATAATAAAATAATATATATATTTCTTCAAGATTAACATATTGATTAAAAAAATTAAAAAATTAAAAAACACAATGAAACCGCACCGCACACGACAAACAGTGCAGCACCAGCAAGCAGGACCATCTAGCACATAACTACAAAGTAATTAAGGCTGTTTTGACTAACTATTTAATCAACCTAAAGCACAAATCACGAAGGAGTAATTTGACTGGTGGGCCCTAGCAATGGGCCCCCGTGCCCTCCATGGGAATCGCCAGATGGGATATAAACAAATAATAAAGAAACAAATCAAATAATTACAAAGATTTTGTAGCCTTAAACATGTTTGAGACACGAGAGACAGGCCATCGATAAAACTCATAAGCTTTTTAATCTAAAGTTCAAGCAGAATTATACCAACCACTAATTAATATTATTCACACTTATTAATCATGTTTAGAGAGCAATTTGGGACCCTTAACCAGACGTGGGTCTGACTCAGCTCAAGTACATCGAGCGCATGCACATCTGGAACACACCTGTGCTGGACAAAAACAGAGACACGTGACAGATTTTGGGTCATGAAATTGTATGGGACTTTTCTTTTTTCTTTTAATTTTTTAACATATTAAAACTATTAGAAAATATTAATTTAATATTTTTATGCCAAAATTTTTTTTAATTTTTTTTTAAAATAAATTGTAATGCAAAACTAAACAAACAAACAAATATAGATTTATATACAGTCACAACGTTATTGAGGTGAGGGGATAAGCTTCGGTCTCACTATTGCTGTAAAAAGCTTTTGTTGATGACAATATTGTCCAGAGTCGCTGACGGCTATTTAAAATGGATTATTTATGATAATTAAATTCGATTATAATATCTAATTTAAATTTAATTTATAAATAAATTGAATCCACATAAAATAAAATTCATTTTTTTTTAAATATTATCCTTGTCATTCTTATCTTATTTTTTCAAAGATATTTAAGAAATAGATGGATAGAAGAGTATTCTGATGAACTAATTTTAAAATTAGTTTTTTTTTTTAATATTTGATTTGCCTTTTTATTATTTTTAAAGTTTTATATTTGAGATCATTTGAATGGTCTCAAATGTAAAACTTTATTAAAAACTCTAAATTAAATCAAAATAAGCTGACAAGGAAAGATGAAACTAGAAGAAACACAAGGCAACAGCTAGATACACGTGAGGTCACAATAGATTGTCGCATGCAAAGGTGTTTTGAAGGTTGCTTTCTTGCTTGGCAATCAGCCTATGGCGTTGTGGGATAGCAAAAAGGGGTCTTTGCTCAACTTTTCTCGTCTAGTTTTCTCGGCATGTGCCCCACTCCTTTTGTCCTAAAGCTATTTGAGTCCTTCTTTCTTTCTTTCTTCTTTGAAGATTTGTGATCAGTTATACTGCAAGGTCTCATCAACATTCTTCAATGTGAATTTAGATGCCAAGTGATTCTCTCTGCACCACCAAAATCATTGACACAGGACCTTTTATGGGATTCGATTCTACCTTCATCAAGGCTCGAGTTGTGGATTATATGGGTTAATCCGGATTAGTCCAAGTTCTTGTTTTTAAGTCCGAAACTGAGCCTGTTTAGGTTGGCGGCAAATATTTCGACTGACTTGTTAACCAGGCCAAGTCATATATCAATGTATTAAATAACTTGATATTTAGAAAAGAAAGATGCTGCAACCAAGTAAACGAATAGTGAACCTTTTACCAGCAGATGCCCACATAAAAAGACTAAAGTTCTTGGGTGGATGTTCTTTCTTGAAGTATCATATCAGCCCTAAAAAGATTTTCTACACCTAAACCAACGCACATGATTTGTGAATTTCCGCCAGGTTAATTTCCTGGGATTGATACTTTTTAGACAGCATATGATTCTGCTCCAACCAGGCCCCATCTCTTGGGGGGGTCCAACGTAGATTACATTTCATAAGGATCAAACATGACAAGTAATGATCTCAAATCTTCTTTTTTTTTTCATGAATCACATGGTTTGGTACCACATGCTTGTCTATCAACTGGGGTTTCATAAAATCATGAAGAAAATAATTTATGTTGTAATCAGTTGGCTGGATTTGGAAAGAGTTAAAGAGTAGAATTTCAAGGGATTAAACTAGATTTTTTATTAAATTTAATCATGGATTCAAAGTCAACCTTTCATTACGTTAAGAAACTCATTGAAGTACATAAAAAAAGGCTAAAGAACAACTGTAATCAAACCTTGCCTAACCCAAATAATTACACAAGAAATGATGACTTGAGCTAGGTTTCTTGTTGGATTGTTTAAGATGTTTGATTTGATTGA